CTTCAGGAAGAAGTGATGACGTCACCGGAGGCACAGCCGAGACCGTCACCTGGAAATTAGTAAAATAACATTAACGTTTGTTCATAAATCTAAATGGAGATTCTTCAAAATCATTTTATTGTATTCTGTCTGTATATATATATTTGTCGTGTATTTCTTTTTTTCCCTTGGTTCTTTTTTCCGTTTTTTTTTATGATAATGAAGTATATGAATATTTATAACAATTCAATGATGCTTTTTAAAATATGCAAATTTGCCTACATACTGCCTTTATTTATGCGTCCGTGTGTCTACGTTTTACATTTCATCAGGGATTTTCCATACATTTTCTTCACAAGAAGAAAAATAAGTCTTTCTAAAAGTAATACAGGAAAAATAACATTTCGAATCATCATCGCCACAGTCTTCACCAAAATCACATCTTTTAAAACGGCTGAGTCAGGAAATACAAGAGCACCGGAAACGCATAAAAGAAAATTGCAAAAAAAAATGAGAAAGAGAATGATACATTCCCTGAGAAAACCTTAAACTCATGTCATTCCGAGGTCGGTTACATAACCAGTCACGTAATGCAACTGTCTGCCTTGACCAGCGCGTCTGTGTGAATGCGACTGTCATTTTTTTTCTCTCTTCATATCTCTTTTTCACTTTTTCCTCTCGTTCTTTTCTTTTTTATTTCTGTTCTATTTCTTTCTCTCTCTTCCTCTTTCTCTCTTTCTCTCTTTCTTTCTTTCTCTCTTTCTCTCTCTCTCTCTCTCTCTCTCTCTCTCTCTCTCTCTCTCTCTCTCTCTCTCTCTCTCTCTCTCTCTCTCTCTCTATGTAAACACGCGCGCGCGTGTGTGTGTGTGTTGGTGTGTGTTGTGTGTGTGTGTGTGTGTGTGTGTGTGTGTGTGTGTGTGTGTGTGTGTGTGTGTGTGTGTGTGTGTGTGTGTGTGTGTGTGTGTGTGTGCATCGATTTCTTTTGGTAATAGAATGGGAAATGATGTTACTTTTACTGAAGAATATAAAATGATGACATGTATATTTCTTTTTTGTTTTCCTCTTCGAGACGAGGAAGAGAAAAATATGAAAATGATCTCACGATCTCCCCCGCTGTTGCAAAATTCGTGACAGGCGGGGAAAAATTCCGCATCTATCATAAACTCAGTTTAAACCTTGTAACAAAAAATTACTTAAAAGAAAATAAAAACATTCAGATTCCCTGCCAATCATTTGTGTCAGATCGAAATTGACTTAAATCATTTGCATCATCATCAATTCCATTATTTTCCAAGGTAAGTCGTTTACACAATGTAAGTAGAATGGTCATTACTTTTCTTTTTTTTTAGTTAATACTTACTGTTCGCTTTGATTTTTTATTACTTTATAATTTTCGCTTACTTTTCTCTCCCTTCATTTGTTCATTCTCTTCTCATCAATTTTCGATGTTTTTTATCTCTTTAAATACCTCATTACTTCCTCGTATAGTTTTATTTCCATCATTATGTCTTACTGCATTTTTTAGGTAAATTATGACACTTGTTGTTATATCGAACTATTTTTGTTTATTAAATCATATTTTTTTCTTCTGTCATATATTATCAGGTATTTCATTATTTTTTTATGCATTTCTTCTTTTGTATTTACATATTTCTTTGTTTATCTTCTATCAACATATTTCTAGCTATTTCATTGCAAAGAATAAAAATCAAGAATTGACATTTAAGACATCAATAATGACTGTAGCTTTATTTCCTATAATTCAATACAAAATCAATTCAATACATACATTAAAAAATAATACGAACTATTCCTAAATTGTTTAACATCAAACGGATAGCCACATAGACGCACATTTGAAACAGAGTTTAGCTTTTAACATTAAAGTGCAAGGCTAACCAGACACCTGAAGCCAAATAAGAAGTTAGCAATTGCTAGCAATCTGTGATCTCATTTGAGGGTATGGCGCGACCTAAGCACGCACACAAATGCGCGCACACACATACATACATACACATACACACACTCACACTCACACTCACACTCACCCACACACACACACGCACGCACACACACACACACACAAAAAAAAAAAAAGACATAATGTATGAAATTATTTACGTTCATCGTTTTAGGGCAATCAATGAACCATAATTGTTGATGTTAAAAGAAAGATAATTTGAACATCTACTGTTGTTTGTAAGCAGACTGTAAACATTTACCTTCATATTTAGATATAAATGCGCCATAAATACATACATACTTACATATCTAACCACATCTATACATATATATACGTACATTACATACATACATACATACATGCATACATACACACATACATACATACATACATACGTACATACACACATACATACATACATAAATACATACATACATACATACATACACACACACATATATATACATGTGTTACACACATACATAAATACAAGCAATGCATGCATATATGTATACACACATACACATTCAGGGGAATATAAACAAAACAAAAGAAAGC